CAGCCATTCAGGAATTGTTCAAGCGGATCTCGGACCAATTCGTGGCCATGTTCCGACGCAAGGCCTTCCTGCACTGGTGAGTGGCCAGATTTTACCCCCAAAACTCCCGTCAAGCACCTACCTGTACCACTATCCCCCGACTAGTAGCAGATTTCACCACCATAACTCCCACCAAGCACCGGTCTTAACCACTATCCCTCGACTAGTAGCAGATTTTTCCACCATAACTCTCACCAAGCACTATCACTATGACACTATCCTCCGACTAGTAGCAGATTTTCCACCATAACTCTCACCAAGCACTACCACTATCCCCGACTAGTACCAGATTTTACCTCCATCCGCCAACTCCCGCCAAGCACCGACCTTTACCACTACCCTTACACCTCGCAGGTACACGGGGGAGGGAATGGACGAGATGGAGTTCACCGAGGCGGACGCCAACATGGAGGACCTCATCTCGGAGTACCAGCAATACCAGGAGGCCACGGCCGACGTGGACGACGACTACGAAGAGAACGAGGACGGCGAGGATGGCAAGAGTGGACAGCTGGAGGACGCCATCTCCACTTGATGGACGCTAACTTTAGATGGACGCCATCTCCATCTGATGGGCGCTGCTTGGGCCGTGTTGTGGGTTAGGTGCTTGAGTGGGGGGACGATTTGTCCTAATTATGAGTATTTTTTTAACTTGTATGACACTTGATCCGCGACGTGGTCACGGAGCTCGTGATGGACGCAATCCTAGTCCTGCTGTCGCGGAAACGTTTTACTCGATAGAAATAATATGTGGATTACCTTTAGCATTAGACGTTATCGGCAATGTATCAAAATTTTCCAGCGACGTAGTAAGGGCTCGTTTAAATGCTAAGTTGTCACTTATTCATGGAAAATTCACGAGCGAAATCAATCTACATTCACGATTATTAATTCATTAGTTCATCGTATTTTTGTTGAACAATTGAATTGTAAATTAGGCAGGTAAATATCACATGACACGATTCTGAAAACTACTAGAACATTAAAATTAGAAATCAAATTGAAGCCACAATGAAGGCACTCGAGTTTAACTCTGATCGATGAACTTTTCACTACCGGTATTTATTCAAGAATAAATTTCCATTATAATAATTAAATAATAAGTTTTCAGTTTCATTTATCGGGGATATTGAAACATAATTTTCTGTAACTTTTACTAAGTTTGTGCGTTTTCATCGATGACTTATTTCATCTGCGGAGGCAGCTATGTTCGGCCGCTACCAACTACCTGTAAGTGTGTGCATTAAAGACCATGTAAATAATTAGTTAGCTATACGCGCCAAAATTCCATTCACTTTCAGAACGAACCTGTTTTAGGAAAATACACTCACCGAAACAGTACTTACATTGTTGGCACCTATGTGACTCCGACCATTTTCGTCGCGTTTCGACAATATGGCAGAGTTTGGCGAGATTATTTAGTGCTCTGACAACCTCCGTGCCTCGTGCTCAACTAAGGGACCAATCAAAACCCAGAGACCAATAATATTAAAGTAACTATCTTAGCTATAGTAATTAACGTCGGTCCGATACAATGACTACCGTTTATTTTCTCTTGTGTGAACTACAAATTTGATAGTGAGAGCAACTCGATTAATATCGATAAATACTACCTAGTTTAGATTAGGATCAGGACGTTAAATATCACAATTATTACGAGACAGGCTGGCACTAGGAAACTCAATTATTCGATATTCTGTTAGAAGTTTTCTGTGTACTGACATTGATGAAGCTAAATGTTGAAGTTTAATTTACCTGTACTGTAGTCGATATTATGCTAGGAATGAATGAATAGGACACCTCTGACGAGCAGCACTAACGTCAAGGATCATAAAGACCGAGGATCGAAAGAGAACCAAGGAATGCCTTCCTGAGTACGGTCTTGACAACGGCCTTCCTGAGTACGGTCTTGGGTACGGCTTTCCCGAGTACGGTCTTGGGTACAGCCTTCCTGAGTACGGTCTTGGGTACGGCTTTCCTGAGTACTGTCTTGGGTACGGCCTTGAAGGCAGACTTGGGTACGCGTCTTTTACAAATCATAAACTCGGAGGCCATTAAAAACAATTACAGTGGAAAGGTTTACTTATTTAAAATTCAGTACATTAAGGAGGAATTACAAGAAAATATCACATTGTGGTAAACAATCGAAAATTTCTAAGATCAGTAGCAGCAATTTGGGTCCACAGTTCAGCCGTATTTTGATTAATTCAGTCAATTCCTTGAACAAAACACACATTTTACATTTTGGGCTCCGCTGAGTTTTGAAATTTTATGACAGAGCTTGATGAAGCAAGTTAAGCGTAAAGTAAAAGTTTAAAATCATTTCTCCGTTAAAAAACAGACAGGCGTTAAAAAAACAGAGAGGCGTTAAAAAAACAGACAGGCGTTAAAAAAACAGAGCGGCGTTAAAAAAACAGACAGGCGTTAAAAAACAGAGAGGCGTTAAAAAAACAGAGAGGCGTTAAAAAAACAGAGGGGCGTTAAAAAAACAGAGGCGTTAAAAAAACATAGGCGTTAAAAAGCAGGTTTATTCAGGCTTATTGTGACCTCAGGCTGCAAGAAGTACAAAAGCCTGCCACGTCAACACTAAAGAACAACTAAGAAATAACATCAAACAGGTTAGCGACAACAAGACGATTACCAGGTTCAACTGAAAATATCAAAAGCTGAAATGAAAAGTAAACAAAGTTCAACATTCTGGACCATTATTGAATCAGAAGAAATTCCATTCACCCGTTTACCAAACTCGTGTACATTTGTGACGAAGTTATTATGTTTTGATGATCAGGAGCAATCATACGTTATGAACTCATTAATGGGACACCATGCATAAGCATTGCAAGCGTGGTTAATATTCACTGTTGAACAATGCATTGCAGCAACATACATCGGTAGCCACATAAGCTATGCAAGCGAAGCTAATATTTTTGCTAAAAAATGCACTGAAGTTACCTAGATGGATGCAACTGCAGAAAATGTTTCTACCACCAGAAGGTTGCAGCAAGACAATTCAAAAGAACATTTATTAGATTTGCTTAGATTTAGATTTGCCTAGTTTTCTTTTGGAGCTCAGACACGTGATTCGGGCTCCTTTGATATTACAGTCACCCTAACCACCTAGAATTAAACTTGCTTTGGAGTCCTGTCCAAATCACCCATCATGTCTCAGTCACCTTCTCGGAAGATTTTCTTATCAAATTGCTTCGAAAATATAGAAGACTCATTCACGATCGTTGACCCCATCACTAAGAAATTTGCTTGCAAATAAGAGAGATTAGGTAGGTATAGAGACCATTTAACTCATAATATTCTGAAATGAATTACAGAAGTCTTCCATCTCTATCACACAGCGAGGAATCAAGTAAGCATTAATAATGTTCAATTTTTGCCAAATTAAGATTCTGAAAAAAAAACAGCAATAAGTTCTTTATAGCTACTCTCAGGCGTAGCGATATAGCAAACACAACAATTGACCTCAAAGTAACCACCATTGTTGAAATGACAAACACTAAAAATAACTTCCTTTAAAAAGTGAAAGCTAGTTTAAAAAAACTGGTACGTCGAGAGGTCCATCAGCTAAGGTCTCTCCTTGGTTTTGTTACAGTAACATTTTAGCTTCGTCGATTGAATCTAACTAGGATACTAAGATTGTTAACAGTTGCAAACACATGCCAGTTAGAATAATGGCTATTTAACTTAGTGTGATTGGGTACACTTTTGCAGATACAGTACAGTTAAATCCAACAAATGCCTAGGCCCGTACAGTCGCTCCGTACCACTTGATGGCCGCCAATATGTCTTAGTTGCATGAAGTTTAATTTAGCGGCGAGCCAAGTGGGTAGCGTATCAACGGTTACAAATCGTTCCAAGATTATCTTGCGTTAGGGTACGCACACAGTGAAGCAGGTTGCCAGCGTGCTGGTTACCTGCTCAGGCTGGCGCCTGAAATAAGCGCGAGAGGTTCACAGAGGAAGCAGGTTGCCAGCGTGCTGGTTACCTGCTCAGGCTGGCGCCTGAAACTATAGAATACAGAAGCCTATTCGTACAGGTTTTCACTGTGAACACTTACATTATTATCCTATGTTCATTCTTGTGGCAGGTTGAAACCATAGCATACAGAAGCCTATTCGTACAGGTTTTCACTGTGAACACTTACATTATTATCCTATGTTCATTCTTGTGGCAGGTTGGAGCAGGTTGTCGCGCGGGCAAACCTGCTTTCACTGTGTGTTTACGCTTAGGCAGTAAATAATTTGTGAATAAGGAAATAGCAAACTAAACCTCATTCTCGACTAAAAATTTTCCACGTAACCCCTTGATAGGCCCTCGTGCAACGCACGTTTGGATTCCCCTGGTATAGAACGTTTTTCACATATTATGTTCACCAAGAAGATTTATCCAATAACAGTTCGCAGCAAAGATTTTTAAAATCTATGGGTTCATATATTAAAATCATTCAACTTTCCCTCCTTACTTGAGTAAACAAACGCGTCCACCTTACTCGTGCATCACTCTGGTAACGTTTATGACGATTTGGAATAAACCGAGTGTCTGGAACAATCAATATCTAGGTAGTAATGTTACCAATAGTCTTAATCTAAAATTTGAGATGCGACGAAAACAATACGCAGTGAGAGCACAATGTACCTACTTCCAGATGTTGGTGTAACACTGTACGTGACTAGTCTAGGCCAGAGCGTATTGCCGCACCACGTGCAGCACACATGTGGCAGACTATTTAGTCCCACTTCTATGGTAACTTGAAATAGGTAGTAAACACAGCAAAGCTATTATCAAATCAAAATCTAGAATACATATGAATGAGGAGCATCTCCGCCGATGAGTCTATGAAAATGTAATCAACTGAACATTAACTTTATATGGAATAATTATTGAGGGACATTTCTACCATATCTTTCTACCATATCTATATATCATATACCATATCTTATATAGTTGGAAACTATATAATCCAACAGGTAAGATCGTTCTTCCACGAACATGGTAATGTTTAGTCGCAACGCAACTGGGGGTTGACTTGTACTAGACTAGTATCAATGATACTAACGGCTGACTAGTGCTCGATGTCTTCTAGGCATACCTTTCTTTAGGAGACCTAAGAAATGTGTAGCGTTCGTCAATAGACCTCATAGTGTAGTGGAGGTCAAACAGTTGAAGGGCTTATTTCCTCCATACTTGTGTATGGATCGTTCGTTCACTTGCTGCAAGACTTACGTGAATACGGTTAAAAGCATTTTAAATACAGGTTATAACGAATTTTTCAGCCACTTCCATAGTTTTTGCGATACAGATGCAGTGCTAGATTGATAACAACTGAATACCAGCGTCTCTTTCCATCAGAAGAGTTAATAAGAAGGTCTCCATGGACGTAAGGTGTTGCGGGATGGAGTTAAGAAGCAAGCTATAGATTTGTGCTATGTTTGCTCGGTGAGGCACACAAGCGTTTCCCTAATACATACGAAACAACTATCTAATGCGTCTATATTACTCTTATCCCCTGCCACAGCGAGAACAGCCAAATACAAGGGTTAATACACAAGCAAACAAGCAAATAGGTTTGTGCAACTACAAGCACAATGCACGAGTGTGATAGTGATAGACGAGTCCTGCGTCAGTAGTGACAAGTCCTGTGTCAGTAGGGAAGCGTGGCGGAGGCAGGAGAGTGAGCGCGGCTGCTGGGGGTGTGGGCACGGCAGTGTAGGGTGTGGGGCAGGCAGACGTTGCGGCAGGGCAGTCCAGACTTGCACAGCGCAGAGCAGGGAGCCCCTCGGCTTGACCTGCACGGCGGCGATTACTTCGTTACCAACACAATCGTATGAAACTCATCGGCATCACCGGACGTAATTACGGGCACGAGGATCTTCATTTCTCAACTAATTTCTAGCGCAATTTTCATCAAACAGTTTATTTTTACACGAAGCTGAACCAGTTCTCTATTATACCAAGCTTATAACCATTACTACAGCATACACTGAAATTCATCTTTTCACCTAATATTAGACACCTTCGTGGACATTTTTGTCAAGCTGGTCAACATTGCGGTCACCTGTTGAGCGTGGGCGTGCGGCTCCTGCTGTTGCGTTCACGCAGTCGCTCTCTCACGTCGTTACTCTGCAACGCAAACAACAATCAATTGCTAGCATCTTGATACATTCCCAACACTAAGCTGGCCCCAGCAAACTGCTGGGAAACATCCATGGCCTCAGCAAACTGCTGGGAAACATCCATGGCCACAGCACATGTGCGTTCCAAGCTCCTCAGGGATTAATTGCAAGAAGACATCAACGCAGGCAAGTCAGAAGTAGTCCCCTGGGTCCTGCACTCTTTGATTACCCTCATCATTATTACACATGTTATATTGAACTACGCAGCCACGCCTGGTACCAAAGCATCCCAACTCTGCCGCGCGGCTTTTACTTTTTTCTTTAAGCATGCCTGCATGTCCCCTCCTCATCACAACTTGCATCCTTCCTCTATTTGCCTGATCATTGGCTGCTTGCAGGAAGCATATCCTCCATTCATTCTATTTGTTCACTAGAAAGGGGTAGCATAATGATGGTACAATGAGTATTTGCGACACTTATTAGCTCGTAACTTATAGCCTCAAGTCGTCGTGTAGTTTACTTACTGCTTTGGAGGCCACCACAGTTGGGCTGTCCTCGGCTGGAGCCAACAAGCGCTGGAGCTGCTCCAGTTTGCTGGGGAGCTCTCCAGCTCTCCTATCACTGAAAAAATATTGGCAATTCTTCAGCACGACAGAAATTCAAAATCTGATTTAAAATCATCACAATTACTAACCACGGTACACTCCACGAGACGATACATGGACAAATGCCTAAATCAGTTGATAGGTATTCATCACGTATTCAAGTTCTTTAATTATCGGCTAATCCAATATTCAGCTCATGGCTTAATAGTGGTATTCATAGGTGGAATTTCGCGACTTGGGTCACTACACAACTTACATGAAGTTGCATTCCGACGACGTGATCTTTCCGTGTGGCTGTGACGCCCCAATGCAGCCGTTACCCCCGCCACGTTGCTGGTCATATGTGGCGTGTCCATTTTCAAGATTAACTGGATATTTATTTTGAGTTATTCCTAGATTTTTCTCACTGAAGATATTAAGATTTCCACCATTCATATTTGGTGATAGGGCACTATTCCTTCCAACACTTGGCTCATTATCTGTGCCGGTGAGTGAGTCGGGGAGCTGGAGCTTGGCCGATAAATTCATGCTGTGGCCTCCAGTACGGTGAGCGGTCGCTGGCGTGCGCGACACGTATTTAGTGGCGCGGCGGGCGTGGTGAGGGGCGGACGTAGGCACGCTCTCGTCGCCAGACGAATATTCTCCGTCAGCACTTCGAAAACAACATATTTTGTTCTTAATTCAGGAGATACATTGTTATTACGCTTTCAATAAACGTATAATAATTTTTTATATCCTTTAAAAAGCTTCGAACGCAACAAAAACAACTTTATTTAATTTTATGTGGTAAATTACTGCTAAGTTAATACACACTTTAGACGCACAGCCATCCGACACTTCAGACTTTTATTGGATGCATGAATATTCTGGCTTTTGTTGGCTCAAGAAGTCTTTTCAGCAAGCTACCTAACAAATGCATTCAAATGATGAATTAAAGAGGACTAACAGAAGACATTGCCTGCAGGTTTAATGATTATATTTAATGATGTTTGATAAATTAAGCATTGTGTCTTTAATGAAAGAGGAATGACAGAAGACATTGCCCTGCTAGTTACGTTTACCAGTAGGTAAAATCCGAGCCTGGGGCTCGATTATAAGGTCAGACGCAGATCGACCAACAGAAACGGTGCAGTCTTGCAATAGTACTCACATGTGGACGTTGTTGTTGGTGTTATTTTTGTGGTGCAGAGACTTGGGAGCGGAGAAGCGGAGCCATTTTGGTGCGGTCTGGCGCAGCACCAACGGGCCTTGCGAAATCCAATAAGTCAGAAGTCAAGAATATAAATTTTTATTTTTACTAAAATTTCGATCAAAGATAAGAACATTAGTGAGTACTTTATGGTCAGCGACGAGGTATGAACTCGAGGGTTGAATGTTAACATTTCTCTAGCAAGTCACATTTATAAATAACCTACTGCACTCGTCTCACTGATAGTGCCCAAAATTCGACTGTTATTTTCGCATAGAGGCTTCAGGGAGAGAGGTTTGAACGATAGACATGTTAACCACCTTAGTGACCCTGAAAAATCTTTTTGTAAATGTGCCGGATTGTGCATTTGCCGTTCAGCCTAATTGGTTCCTAGAAAAAAATTTCTTACTTCGAAAATGAAAATAGGCATAAAAAATAAAAATTCCATTGCCCGTGCAGCACATGCAGGTTATCAAAAAGCCATCAGGTTTATCTTCATACTTTGTAATGTATCAAAAATAACAGCTGCATATTATGACAAAATTTATGAATTAAAATAAATTGGCGGGACCTGGGGCCATACTTTCAAAACTGGCTAAGTGAACGTAATTACTTACGCTCTATTTTCTTGTCTGTTTGATGGATTTTGCTTGAAAGCCCGTCAATTATTGGCTCATGAACTTACGAAATCTCAACTTTTTTTGAAAGTATGGTCCCTGCTGTAGCGTACCAAGTTTTAGAATGTTACAAATACAAGAGCGAGAGTGATGAGGTTCGTACCGAAGAAGATGGTGAAGATAACAGCACCCAGGATGGCATACGAGTGACCCGAGCCCTGGCCCGCCATCACAGCCCACGCCCCGCTGCCAACAACTGCCACACTCGCCACAAACCGACGCACCGAGCCCACCTGCGGGGCAAGAGCACTCATAAGCCACACTGGGTCAACTGACCAGCATTATCTGACAATGATGCTGCATTAGCCCCACTGCCGTCAGCAAGTAGCAAGCAACAGCATTTTGCATCAGCTGGCTCAAATGAGAGCAGATGCACGGTAATCACGCTCAATGTTACTACTTTCTTCCAGTTGCGGGGCAGCCTGCCTCTAGGCGCTTGGTAACGGTGGATGACGAAGGAGGTGCATCAGCGTAGCCATGGACCAGGAAGTCATAAACTTAACATAATGACACGAGGACCTGGCAAAGAGCAGAACTACCAGCCAGATTGCAGCATTACCTGGCAAAGAGTAGCTGCATAGTGCAGCAGCAGTAGCATCACAGTATGAAGCATCACAGTCACAGCTTCGTCCACGTGGTCACCTGCACTCAGAATGATAATTAATACAATATTTAACTAAATATTTAATGATTATTGAATTTCCATGCTTCATGAGCACTACCCCTACGAGCATCATTGAGGACAATGAAGAAACAATTATAACTAGCAGCAACTGAGCAGCTAGTAACTCGGCTGTAACCAGAATAATAGTATAACATCAGCCACCACTCACCAACAACAGCCACCACTCACCAACAACAGCCACCACTCACCAACAACCACCACTCACCAACAGCCACCACTCACCAACAACAGCCACCCCTCACCAACACAGGCCAACACTCACCAACAACAACCACCACTCACCAACAACATCTCACCAACAACAGCCACCACTCACCAACATCAGCCACCACTCACCAACAACAGCCACCACTCACCAACATCAGCCACCACTTACCAACATCAGCCACCACTCACCAATCACAGCCACCACTCACCGATAACAGCCAGAAGGGCAGTTATCCAGGAGAGACTGGCATGCAGCCGGGCGTGATTGTCATCAATGATGTGCTGCACATGCTGCACGCTGGCGGTGAGCTGCAGCACGGCAGCGTGCAGACGCTGCTGGTGCTGCATGCTCTGCTGCTGGCTCAGCACTAGCCGACGAGCGCGTTGCTCTGCACATGCAAAATGAACTTAGGGAGACTCAATCCTGTAGAGAACTAAACACAGTCCGTGCCTGATCTCTGTGCCTCAAATAATTCAAGTAAGGGATACTCTTTCTCTTATTCTCTGATGCCCATTACACAACGATACATGTGCTTCCATTTGTCCATGCTCAAGGCATTGTTCCGCGATGGACAAACGAACTAATACTTTGAACAAACATTTTCTAACAATTTATATATATACACCTTTAATTCAAACTGACCTCACTAGTTTCTACGTCAGATCTCCTTCCATGCTACCATAAACCACATCAAACTCTGACCAATACATAAAATATCACAATGACACAGACCAGAAGCTTTGTGCAGAGATGCTGCACGTTGCTGCAGGGCATGCAGACTGTGCAGCACAGCAACATGTGCAGTCTGCTGAGCCGCAGACTGGGCAGACACCTGAGCTTGTGCAGACGCTGAAATAATTTTTTTTAATAATTGGTAGCATTCTTGAGAAGACTCCTTCAAAAATGTCAACATAGAAATTTGGAATGAAAACAAATGCTATAAAAAAAACTTTGTCCGTCCAGTACTGTGCTTCTAGTACCACCATAAAATATGTAATGTGGCCAAACAATGCAAACAATTATAATAGGTGAAAAGTGAAGTTCTGTATGGTGCAAAATAGTGAAGAATTCATTGCTAATATTTCTCCTGTACAATACAGACAAGTGTAGCCCTAGATGACTCACCAATTCTCCTCATAAGAGAAGCAGCAAGAGACACAGCACTGTGATGCTGACTCGAAAGCCATGCTCGCTGCCTCCCCAGCATTGCTGAGGTGTTGCTGAGTGAGGTGCTAAGCTGCTGTTGTTCCTGCTGCAGTGCTTGTTGTCCTGACCACAGAGCTGACAGAGTGTCAGCTGTTGTCTGCTGCAGCTCCGTCTGTTGCTCCTGTACAAGAGTAATGCGTTAAATATCAAAATTTCAATAATTAACCCAATTTGTTGACAAAAATGAGTAATTGAGACTGAAAACACAGATTACATCTTTCTCTTATCTTATTAGACAAAAAATCCAGTAATGAAAAATATCTATGTCCACTTATTTGTCCAGCTAAAATTAAGAGTAAATACTGGCAAATTATGTCCATTACTATCACTTTCTAGCTTTATCTCTTCTAAAGGACACTTGGGAGGACAGCACAAGCCATGAGATTAATTAATCACGCTTCTGCTGAGCAGAGCAGTGCAGCTTATCTTAAGTGAGCTGAACCTGTGCAGCACAAACCTTGAGCAGAGCCATGCTGCTGCTGCTGCTGTGCAGCACAAACCTTGAGCAGAGCCATGCTGTCATGCTGCTGTTGCTGTGCAGCACAAACCTTGAGCAGAGCCATGCTGCTGCTGCTGCTGTGCAGTGCACAAACCTTGAGCAGAGCCATGCTGCTGATGCTGTGCAGCACAAACCTTGAGCAGAGCCATGCTGCTGCTGTGCAGCTGTGCGGTGTACAGCAGCTTGTCTACAGTGAGCTGAGCCTGTGCAGCAAAGAGCCGCTGTCTGGCAGCGCTGCACACTGCCAGCGCCCTGTTGCTCATCAGCAGATATGCATTCCACGTAACACCATCCATGTCACGTGTGCACTCTTGCAGGGTCTGCGCACAATAACATTCAGATCTTGAACAAAAGTTTCTATAAAATAATTCATTTGGATATGATAAGATAGCCCTTCTAGAAATTTTTGAGCAGTGTCATTGATTATATGATTCCTGTATATTAATATCATTTCAAGATTACCTGATTGCCCTTAAGCTGACACAGACTATTTTTATCTTGAGATAGAAGATGATAATCCCAATTGTGCTCTTACTGCCTCTCTAGCTGTGAAATCAGTGACATTTTTAGCTAGGAAAGTATGAGGCAAGAAATATTAAGAGGAATAGTTTATAATCTGACACATCTTTGATAAAGTTTTCAGTGCAGGATGCACTGAGATTAGATGCTTTTATTGACAAACAATGTGTGTAAATATAAATAAAGATAAAATTGGTGTTGATTAATTTATGCACATTGGAGTTACATGCTTGAAATAGTAGTTGAAGAAGTATGTGGTAATTGCTTGATGAATTTAAGAGGACTAAATAAGGATATAGTGAAGCAAATTGAGAACCTCACCATGTGGCTGTAGCATGGATACAAGCGTCTGCTCTCAGCGCTGGCCTGACAGTTGAGCAAGTTGACAGCAAACTTGCCCAGGTCATCTTCCAACAGCGTCTGGCACTGCTGCTTGAGTGACAGCACCAGCCGATGTTGGCACATGTCCAAAGATGACAGTGGTGCAGCCAGTAGAGATGAAGCTTCTTCCAGGAACTTCTCATCAGTTGGCAGGAGTTCAAATGAAACAATGGGGTTCACCTGGGCAATTGATGGAATAACTTTTTGAATAATTAGCTTTCCATAGGACATACAGATTATTGTTTGTACCTGAGACTGATAATCAAAAAATTTGTCATTTTGAGGTAGAGATGGATTACATTTTAATTAGATACTTTACTCTGTAGAAATTATGCCTACAGAAATTTATTTAAGTTTATGTCTGATTAGAAAACTCCTGCTAGTCATATCCCACAGAACAAAAACTTTGAATCAAACACACAATAAGAAATTTCTCATAAATACTCAAAGTAACAAAACCTTAAACTGTAATTATTTTCTACCCTATAATGCAGTATCCTCACCTGAATGTCAGGGAATGAGTCTGGATGCATGACATTAGATGGCAGATCTTCATTAGGAAGGCTTAGAGTGTCCTCTTGGAGCTGGGATGAATGATTTTCTGGCTCTGATTTCAACTTATTTGGAAGCAATAAATCATTTCCAGAAAACTCACTATTCAGTTCACTTTCTTCTGCTTCTAAATTAGGTTCATGTGGACCCACGCTTGAGTTTTCTGCTTTTGGGAAAAATTCTTCCATTTCAATGGGCTGAAGATTTTTCAAATTGGTGCTAGACTTGCCCTCTAATGAGTCTTTCAAAGAGGGTTGCTCAATATCTTTTCCTGTATCATCATCAATTGACATATAATTATGGGTAGTATTTTCTAGACTTTTACTGCTGGGTTTTCCAAGAATAGTTTTAGTTCCATTAAAATTGCTTGAACTTGTTTCCTGATGGACTACATCTACAGTACCAATAAATTCACTGATTTTAGTTGAATTATTCAAACTTAGATTATTTTTTTCATTGAAATCATATTCAGATTCAGCATTAAAATCACTAATATCTTCTGTTGGCTGTTTATTTACTACTAAATATTCTTCAGAGGTAATTATTTTAGAGGAGAATTCATTTTTATTGCTGGAATGATCATCTGATGCTGGTTGTCTCTCCATGGAAGGTGCCTTTGGACTGCCATAACATTCCCTGTCCCCACCACAGTCATGGTGATGAAGGTAAATTCCATCACTAGATAATGAAGAGGCAGTAGGCTCATCAGTGTTGCTAACATCTTCATTGGTAGTTTCTGTTTGAGCAAATTACATAATATTAGCTTAAAATATCCAGTTGACAATATAATGCAGATTCAGTAATATTTAATGATTTATCCCTCTCAATTTCTTGCAGGCTTTATACAATGATTTTATTGCAGGTAACAGATCAAACTGCAAATTATTGCAAGAATGAACTCAAGTTCAGATAAATTGCAAGTGAACATACTCAGATCTTTGCAAATGTTCATGTTGAAGTGCCTACTTAAAGTTATTAGGATAATTCTTATGCCTAAATTGAAAGTTCACAGAGAATTTAAAAGCCAAAAAAAGCAAATAAAATCATAATACCGGTACCTATTAAAAAGTTTTACATATTAAAAAGTTTTAAAGAACCAACACCATCAGATCAAAACATTTATAGAATTCAAGTACAATCAGATGAAAAAATCTAAATATATACAATTAGGCAAATGAGATTGTACAATCCTACAATGGTACATAAAATCCCATCAATTTATAATTTTAAGAGGTCCAAGATGAAAATAAGTGTCAGCATTATTAAGACAAGGTTTTCATTTAAACATATGTAGTAAATTAGTAATTCTAGAATCCTTAAATCTTAAACCACCAGCCTCCTGGCACATGGCCCTGGGGTCAAACCAATCATCTTAAAATCACTTCCAAACACAGACACAGTCTGTCATATTGCACTGTTTAACTATGGCGCGCAATAGTATGACATCACTATTTCAACCATCAACAAATGTGTGGAACTAAGACAAAGCTTAATATAAAGGAAAAAGTTGAGAAGTGTCGGAATTACAATTACCCACGATTCACGAATACGATGTCGGAATTACGGAATATACTGCATTTACCCCATTCATGATTCATGGTCATTCACCCATGAAAGATGAAACTATCATTTTTACTAGCAATTTTAATGAAATTCTGCCTGAACCCTAAACTGCCTGAAGTGATATTCCATATAGCTAAACATATAGATGATATAATTATATATATTATATATTATATAAACAAATTAACACTAATGAATAGAATTTATAGAAATGTATTATAAAATACATTCTTATAACATACATATAGAATATAGTATAAATCTAAATAGCTAAATATCAATCCTTAATTTAATGATTGGATCATTTTCATTTGGATGTGAGAATTAGAAGTTTAGAACTGCTTGCAAGTTGCAACTCTGCTGTAGTTCACTATCGACTAGGCTACCTAACACTAACAGTTATAAATTGTTATGGCTATCGCCTAGTATTGGGAAAATTAACATTACACACTAGTGACACTACACAAGAATGCGTAGGCAGCGTAGCTACCAAGTACTAGGCTAGCTAACTAGACTGAACACTGAAATAGTCTTATTCATTCATGATTCAGATCTTACCTTCTTGTACATGATTATTTTTTGGTTGATTCGGCAAACTGTTCTCTTCTGCATTAGTGGCATGATTAGGTTCACTGTAGTCTGTGTTGATTCTTGGTTTTGGTAGGCGGCCTTCAGCCTCGATTTGTTTCATTCCTTTCTCGTAAGTTTCATAAAACCATGATAAAATACTACCAGATATCACATTTAAACAACAGAATAAAACAATTAAGATAAAAACACGCATCTTGACGGTAGATGATATACTTAATTTGACTTAATCCACTAGCAATTAGAATTAGACAACGTGCTCAGGCAGTGGTAGTGATTCAAATCCACCGCGGCGCTCATCTGTATTCTGTAATAAAGATGTGAAGTATTTTACCCTGACAGACAAATCTTAACACGTGTCCCGACAATTCTGTGATCAGGCAGAAGTCGTATATCGATGGGAGTTTTGTTGAACCCATCGGAGTAGGTACGATAATTATCTTTTTTTATTTTATTATTTTCTGTGTTCAAATTAAACGCTACATTTCAAACTTTCCAAATAACATTATCCATCATTAGGAACAATGACGGCTCCACAGAGCTAAACACTGAGCGAGACCGCTAATTCTCCGATTTTAGTAATAAATATTCAGCGCATTTACAATGTCTAGATACCTATACTCCAAATTTCAATCAGCTCCGTAACCGTTCAGTATAGGAATAGAATATAGAGTTTCGGTACTGAAGAAAAAGACCCGTGGCCTGTTGCTCATTCTTCAGGCGAGTTCGCAGGCGGGTCCGGAGAAGTGTCGATTCGGTGTTCGCAGTCGCGTTCGGAGAAGTGTCGATTCGGTACATTAACACCGTACATTGAACATCGAACCCCATCATTCTGAATTGAAGATTAGACTCCTCATCTTTGTGAATTTAAAATCGAACCAAACCAACCATCTTCGACTGTTGAATGGCGCCGACTTTGATCAGGAAATTTTGAAATAACTATACGTATTGTGCCGATGATAAACAATCTATTGTTTTATGTATTCTTTATTGATGTAATTTTCATCTCATTCCTGTATATTCACAGACAATTCAAATTATGTTTTTTCTTCCGTCAATATGGAGACTACGGAATTCTTAGTTAATTTAATGTGACATTTTGGACATCTGAGGAATAAGGACCGAGCCTAGGTAGAGTATCTGTAGAATTTGGAGCGCAGCCGTGGGTAACAAAATTGACTCGTAAACAGGCCCTGGGCCCAACGTCAACCATCAGCATGCAATATCTACTACACATAGCCTCAGATCAATGAGCTGTGGGTAATTCCGGCTAACAGTAAATTTGCTTTGCACAACACAGCCACTGCTTCACAGCGCTGGAGCACAACTGGCCGGAGCGCAACAGGCCCTACCGCAACAGGCGGCGCAGGTTAGGTTAGGTTACGTTAGGAGTAGCTATCATTATAATCTCTGCTTCCAGTGGAACGTAAATTCATAGCGGAAAACGTAAATTCATTACGGAAAATTTTTACTTTCTCTTTCAGTAGTATTCATTTTATTTTCAAGCTTTGCTGCAGGTGGTTCACATCCTGTGCTTACGTCTCGGACAAATTTACGGCCGGACCCGCGGCCGGTCTCGCGGCCGCCGGACTAAAATCATAGAAAAAACCTAGCCAATCAACGAAAACCTCGCATGTTAGGTCCAGTTAGGAACAGGTTCCATTAAAAACACAAAAAACCTAGAGAAACCCCTAAAAAAACACAAAAAAAAACTTTCGGCCGCGAGACCGGCCGCGGGTCCGGCCGTAAATTTGTCCGAGACCTCTGTGCTTCCAGCATTTTTTGTCTCTGAAAATTTTGCCTGAGGATACATATCAGGTGTATCCGGCAATTTTAACTCAATTGTATACACTGCAGGAATCGACCCAGGAAATAATTTCGAACCGTTACTTGTCTAGTATGAATTATATTGGACAGTGAACGTTTGACACTCAAGGAATCGATGGTGGCGGAGCGAAATTCCACTAAACTCTGTTAGATATTTTGGAATTTCTTTCCTTGTTAGTATTTTATTTACCCATCAGTCGAAATAAGATTTAATGGGAATGGGACAACGAATTTGAAGTTCCATCTGCCCTATGTTCATTTCGTGATACAGAATTCCTTCGACATTTATTAATTGTTCCTTTTCAAATTTTGACTAGTAATTTGATTTCCTCCTCTAGAGGTTCTAACTTTGTACCATCTCGCTTACAGGGCGTGGTTCTCGAGAGAGAAGACATGGAGAATGTAGGAAGGAGAATGAAAGAGATGCATTGGTTTGACAAATTTCGACAGAGCGCCTTGACAGTGTGAATGCTGGTAATTGATTACCTTCTTGTCCGTTAAAAATAGTTAAGAGTCACCAATGTTTCGCAAACATACCAGCACATAAATCTATTCTTTGTGTTACACAAGTTACACATAGTTTGTTTTATTGCCGCCCATCCCCGTACCTTGATCGAATTGCACTACAGGCTTTATTTACAGTATATCTACCTAATGTTGACTACTAACTAGCAGGTTAGCCCGGGCTTGAAATTGCTTGAAATTTTGTGAATTCTATTACCTCAATCCCTTTTTTTCCTGCATTCCCTAATCCCGTTACTAAAAATAAAGCTCTTGTCTTTTAATTAAATTAAGACCACTTAATTCCACATTATTCGTCCACAGAAGATTAGTCATTTTATTACCGTTTCGAAATCCGGTAAAAACTATTTTGCGTCTTTAATAATAAATGTATATTTAACAATTGCAAACTCATATTTCAATGTTCATTAAAATATTTTTTCTACCTTTCTGCCAATCCTCTCCTATTCTTCCACTAGGAATGAAATTTCAGGTGGTAAATCCCGACAAGTTGAGTAACGTGGATACGCGTCCTAATTAAATAGCCCATATATATTTATGGCGTCAGTTCAATCACACATCTACACACTCATGAAGCTTTGAAAAATATGCATAATTGTATTAGTTCAACGAAGCATATAATATTTTTAAGCCCGTTAATCAATATTGAATACATCGCAGTAAACATTGGGTTGGCTTTGAACTCACTGTCCCGAATTATTCAGTGCCCGTCACCTCTTATTACGTCATAATTAGGCGTGACTTCGAATGTCTGTTAATATACCACTTCAACTTCATTTTTCGCGTTATCTGATAAGCGTTTGGACATGTCGAGTATTGTCGACACTGAAAGCTTCATTTTCTCTCCGGTCACAAGCTTGTCATCATTCAAATACAAGCCATATGAGTAAATGATCAATACGAATCAGTGTTTCAGGTCAACGTCTTACCTGAAATTTAATTTTTTTCATCTTCTCGTGTAATTCAATTCAAAGCCATGCGCTTTGTGATTGGAATCCTAGTATTGAATCAAAATCTTTCATCTTCAGAAGGGCCGTTTATCTTAAATTTATTACTTAGACGTCCCAACGGCAACACCATGGATTGAGAATTCTGGCAACTTCACAGCTTGGCGGTTGTGTGATGTTAGAGTTAGACTACATGGACTACACTGCCTAAAGAATTAAGCTTGCATCAGCAGATTTACGTGAGGCAAATAACATGGCCGAGAGGGAAAGTCTTCTCAAGAAAGAAATGCATATGTTCAAAATTAGCAACCATTACAGAATCGTGATATCTCATGCACATTTTTTTTATTGGTGTAGATTTGCTGACAATATTGAACACGATTCTCATTTTTATTCACGTTTCATAGTAAGTTCGATAGAAAAGATCACGTTCAAGTTAAAGTTTAATTGTTGTTAAATTGAATATTCCATGTAAAAAAGTTTACTCGCTACTTGACGTAAATCCGGGGACTGAAAGTTACTGACAGATGAAATTAAATAAAATTTCACGGAAATTTGTTGGTCTAGCTCGTCCAGTCAGCGAATTCGCTGGTCTCCAGCAAAAATAAACGAGCTATCGACTGCGCACATCAAACAACATTTTTAATTAATTTCTTATTACTTGTTAGTTTATTTTTCGATGTCTGGCGCAGTTCATGCGTCAAGTGTTCTTCTCTTATGAATTGAACGCAGATAAAATTCCCTCCTTGATATTTGAAATTCCAGTATAGAGTGTATAGTATTTCGCCTACATACGTATCATATTATGTATTATTAGCACTCGATTCACAGGCATGAAGGCCTTCAAACAAATCGCACGCAATTCTTAGCACAATCGGAATATCGCTTAGCATCAGTTTAAAGTAAATTGCCGGCGTTTTCTCTATTGACTTCTAAATCTACCGCATTACGGAAAAAGGAACTAAGTTCATGCCTACACACAATTTATAGGCATGAAGCCCCGCTGTGCGTAACAGTTATCTAATTATTATTCAGCTACTCTTCGCTTACCATTCCTTCGATATGACAGGAATTATAACACCTCTCAGTTGTGTAGAGGATGTAGCATGCTTACCGGTTAATGTGAATTTTTCACCAACACTCACTTGATCGATATCTAAAGCACGAAGTTCAATCGTTGTCTCGTTTCATGATTCAAAGCCCCTCTCCCGATCGCCTTTGTGTCGGTTTTAGTTTTCCCCTTCGCTTCAGAAGGGGATTGAAAAATTTCCCTTCTATTTACCCCCCTTCGCTTTTTATCGCTTCTAATTTAAAATTTTGCAAAAAACACATTAGAATTTTCTATTTAAGCTAAATTGATCACATGACTCAGCTCAAGCTGATTGCAAAATTCTTGCCAAGCGAATGCCTCCCAGCGTTACATTATCAATGGTTGTTATAATTTATGTTAATCGTGCCTTCAGCTCGTCTACGTCGTTTGAAATAAGAGTGGGGCTTTACAAAGAAATCAAAGGTCATATAAAACGTATCTTTAAAATGACACTATGCATAGTTCAGGAGATATGACGACTTTTGGATCATCCTGACAATAGGTACGACGACACCTGCTAAGGCTGATGGTGTCAGCATTGTCGCAGCTCAAGTCTACCGACAGGAGTTGCAAGGACCGCTCCAAACATTTCAGTAACAGAAAATTGCTAAAATCAACGCTATGAAGATTACTATATTTACCTTGCCATCAAATTAACTTTGACGTGGTTCGCTGGGTCTGGCCATAAACATAATGGGTGACTAAGTGACGTAATCC